TCCATTAAGTGTATATAAATAAATCATTATCTGTAGATTTTGTCTCTTCGTTTCGTAACTCTTCTGTCAATAGTGATTTCATTGAACAACCAACACACTAGACTGATGATCATTTCACCATTCCATTCCATTCCGTTCTATTCCATTCGATTTCATCTCCCTCCATTCATCCATCACAACACTGACTGTTTGAATTTGGTAATAATTGTACATTGTGTCTTATTATGGCTACTGTATTTCACTTATTCGTATGGATTTCTTAGTGTATAGGGTGAGGAAGTAGAGGAAGACGAATAAGCAGAAGGAGGAGCTATTGAAAACAACTGTTCGGTGAAATTATTCCTGTTTTGAATAATCTCGGGGGATGTTTAAATTATTAATTGGCACAGTTATGCTTCGATATCTGAGTGTTGAGCTAAAAATGCTAAAATACTACATGTGATGTGTGTTCATTACTTCTGCATTCATCAACTATGATTTATCTTCAAGGTTGTTTGCATCTGAAGCGAATATGAGGGATAAAACTTTGTCATCTTTTGTGTATGGTATTTTGACTAGATTGTTCAACCAAGAATATATTCATTAAGGTATATAAATGCATAAGGATTTTATTTTTAAGGTGATATTCATCATCGACTTTCATCAGTTAGAGGACCATTAAAAACCTGGAAGGGCTGGATAGTTGTTTCGTTCTGGCATGCCACTCCCCAGAAGTATGCACTCATAACTTCACTAGGGATTGAAACCAAGACCTTCAAGTTTCACGATGAATTTGTTAACCGTTCAGCCACTGGATCGAAGTTCAATAGTTCATAGATTCCTAATTCTGTTATGTCACGATTTATTGTGACTATCCACAAAGGTCTTCGGTTGGTTTCTACTTCACTCCCAAATGGTTGACCCTATAAGTCATGACTTCTCATCACAACTTCCAAATATCCATCTCGAGTCATTTCACTAATGAGCAATATACAGTAATGCATTTTGAGGTTAATGAGGATTTTATGTTTATGGTGGTATTCATCAAGGACTGACAACAGTTGGAGGACTATATCGTGAATCTGCATGGATTGGGAACTGCAGACCATTGAATTTGGACCCAGTGGCTGAATGTTTAGCACGTTCGCTGTGAGATCCAAGGGTCCTGAGCTCGAGCCCTGATGGGGTTGTGGGTACTTATTGCTGAGAAATTCTTTACTGGGACAAGACAACTGTCTAGTGCTCTCGGGTTTTCGGTGGTTCGGGGTGATGGTCCGTGATGAGTGCTACCTATATATATATATATACATATATATATACATATATATATATATATATATATATATATATATATATATATATATATATATATATATAGGTGGTGTAAAGCAACCTGGATAAGCTGTCATTTATCTTTTTAAGTCACTCTTGACTCAGCAGGAAGTTTATCAAGATTAACTGTTAAGTTATTAATCAGATAAGAGTGCACTATAGTTATTCTGCATGCCATTATATGTATTACATTTACTATTTTCATTTAACATTGATTTCATCTAAAGAGAAAGACGGCACCGACTTCACTAACTAGTGCAATAAATTACTGATTTCACAAATTATTATTAATATTAGTGTCATTATCTGATTAACTGTAACAATAACAAAAAAATTAATACAAGTGATTGTGACTAGTTAAAAGGACAAAATGCGGATAAGTAATTCATTTTTTAGTATTTTCATAACCTTATAGGCTGAAGTACTTATGCAAAGCTAAACGCATATTTTTGTTGCAAGTAACTAATGATGGATAGCGGCTAGCAGTGGAATCTAGGAGGCGGGTTTCGTCTTATTTGGGAATCATCAGATGGATGTGCCGACCTCCCAGTGAACTCTGTTTTTCCCAATGGGACTCGAACTTGGGGCCGATCATTTCAAACTCCAGAGCGTGACGCACTAGGCCACCGAGTTACGACAGCCACATCGCTCACTCAAAGGCAGGCACATCCACCTAACCAGTCTCAAATAGGAAGAAACGCACTTCCTGGATTCCACTGCTTGCCGCTACCCATCAGCAATATAAAATCAAAAGGCAGGCTGTATCAAGGCATCTACTAAGGAGCCCGTATACCAATAGAGACCTGTCAAATTCCGTCTAATCAGTCACGATGAGATAATACAAGTAACAACATTATAACTGAATTTTATCTTTTAAATTCAGTAACAACCTGCAGCACTTGTCTGTAATCATTACGACGTTGAATTCAAAAGAGACCTGAGTTGACAAATCGTATTGACTGATTACGTTTCAACAACAATCTGTTGAGTATCTATGGTAGTAATTAAATTATATATATATATATATATATATATATATATATATATATATATATATATATATATATATATATAGTTTAGACATTATCTGTGGCATCAGTTAAAAAAGGAGTGGCAAAACGAAAGAAATAGGATTAGTAGAGATAACCGAGGAAGAATTCAGTTCATGATTATGTACCGCATAACAAAGGGGAATAATGGCTTGTCTGTTTGCTACTAGAGCATGTCACGAAATACAGAGTGGTGAAGACTTTGAAGAGATTATGTAGCAGTTGTCCACTGCACAAATCAGTCTTCCTAAACTGTTCAACTTCATACGCTCCATCAAAAATAAGTTAAGACGATGAGGTCCTTAGATTCTAAGCTAATTAAATCTAGCGGCATAAAATGATTTTCTTATTTTCTTTTCTCATAACTTCACAGTAGTTATATAGCATTTGACTTTTTGAGATAGCCGTAGTTTGCCACACTAGTAGTTATACTGGGTGATAATTGAAGGTGGAATGAAAATTCGGACCACGGTCGTATTCACACCAGTGACCAGTAGATTTCCTGCCCTATGCTCTACCAACTGAACAACGAAGTCCAACTACTCACCACATGTTTATTTCATTTCCTAACCAGGCAGCCAGTGTGAACACGATCAAGCAGTGTTAACCCACCACAAATTCACATGGCAGTCGGCCAAAACCTATGGTGAGTAAAGTAAAACGAAAATGTGGTGAGCAGTCTGACCTCATTGTTCAGTTGGTAGAGAGAGCATCGAGCAGGAAACCCAGTGGTGGCTAATTCGAATCCGACAGCAGTCCGAATTTCCACTTCACCTTGAATCACCATCCAGTATAGATAGATGATGACAAATGTGAAGTGTCACGTCACGGTTGAAAATGACTACCGGTAGTGGTATGAATAAAGCAGGCCATAAAACTAATAAAACATAAGAGAGTGAATATTTACCAATATAATGACGATTATAGGAGAGAGGGGTGGGAGGTTAGAATGTGTGGTTTGTGATAGGGAAGTTGATAAAGAACGTGTTGACCCTATTGTGAACCAAGGTAGACAAAATGGATGTACATATTTCTCTTTTGAACACATAGATCGAGCTTTCTTGCATTGATCCCTGTGGCTTCGGTTATGGATAAGATGCGAAGCTGTTCAACTTTGGAGACATTGTGAGGGACACGAAATATCACAGAAAAGGCGTGATCTACCTTGATCTCGTGTCCGCTATCTACTAGATGTATCTATTAGATTTTGTCTCTTCATTTCGTAACTCTTCTGTCAATAGTGATTTCATTGAACAACCAACACACTAGACTGATGATCATTTCACCATTCCATTCCATTCCGTTCTATTCCATTCGATTTCATCTCCCTCCATTCATCCATCACAACACTGACTGTTTGAATTTGGTAATAATTGTACATTGTGTCTTATTATGGCTACTGTATTTCACTTATTCGTATGGATTTCTTAGTGTATAGGGTGAGGAAGTAGAGGAAGACGAATAAGCAGAAGGAGGAGCTATTGAAAACAACTGTTCGCTCAAAATATTCCTGTTTTGAATGAACTTTTTTTTCAGCAAAATGATAAAGACTTAGTAATGATATGAGGTTATGACACTGGATATTTTGCCACTTACGTCACAATGGTGCTGAAATAAAAAGGATGTTTGCTGAAAAAGAAACATTTTTTCTCTATGGAAAAATTTATACTCTTTTCATTTCTTAAATATTTTCATAACAGTTATTTCTTGTTAAATGGTTTACATATGCAAAGTCAAAATCTGATTGGTCAATTTTTAAACGACCAATTATATTTAGGAAGTGATTTAGTATTATTTGTATTTCCCTATTTATTAGTAGTAGTAATAATAATCGTAAAATATATTTAAGTGGGAAAAATGTTTTTAGAATAAAATTTCCACAATTCGTTTGGAACAATTTAAGTGACTGAACTATCAGTTTGTTTATTTTAATAAAAGCCATAATGCCTACAAATCGACTTATATCTTAACTTAGAACTGGAAAATAATAAAACGCATATAAATATATATATATATATATATATATATATATATTCCATGTTTGAATCATTACATCATTCTTTAGAAGGTGGTAAAACAGTTCGTACAATCCATGGATACATCTGATGTATTCAATAATCCAAAGGAAATTTCTCTCGAAAATTCAACTGTTTTGAAAAATATAGACAACTCTTCAATTGAATCAGTTCAAATGAATGCAGATAATCATATGTATACATCTGATCTAAATATGCCTGGTGATCATTCAAGTCGAAATTTATCAAATGAAAAAGTTCATTCATTTAGAGATAGATCACTTCCTGGTATACTTTCAAGACCAGAAGAAGTTTATTCAGTTTATAGTGTACGTGAACATCGTAGAAATACACTTATTCGATTTCAAGATCCTGTTAAATATAACAGTCCATCTCCATCTCGACAGAAAAGGAGAATAGAAATTATACGTTGTTGGAGTAGAGAGAAGATAACACGTAGTGAAACCATTCTAAGTATACGTCCACCATCATCTCAACAGATCCTGAAACAAGAAGAAACATTAAATAAAGATAATTTATATAAATCTAAGCTTACAGCTTCTACAACTGCATTTCACACCTTTCCTTCAACAAACTTAACAGATCATAGTGAAAATTCACTTCAATGCCTTCTTCATTACGGTATATTCCAATTCAGATAATAGATAATCATCAAGGCAATTATATGATAACTAGACCATTATTCAATAATAAACATCAACCAAGTGATATTATAGCTAAACTTCCTATAATTAAACCTTCTGATGAAGATAATTTAAAGAAACAACTAAATTTATCCATTTCTGCTAGGGAATATTCCAATTATTCTGATAAGTAAGTTATTTTCATTTGTATCAAGTTTATTTATTACTTTTATCTTGAAGTTTTAGGACGCTGTTTAAAGAAGTACAGAAATTCATGAAGTTATAACTTCAAAATGATCTAAGAAGAAGATGTTTCAATTGAAGTACTTCCAGATCTTACCTATCATCTATCAATTGAGTTGATATTGTGAATTAGTGATTGCGTAACTCCTAGTTTCTGAATTTCTGACAGCTCATTATAACAACTATCTTAAAAATGATTCGTGGATATAACCAGCAGGAAGTCCTCCTACTTACGTCTCCATTTTGCCGGTAATCACCGACAAGGCGTCATCTAGGAGATTGGAACTTGGGTCACCCAGTGTTACATTCAGAAAAGTTACTACTGACCTATTCAGGCCATAGATAACTTCTATATTACTGGATTAAAGAATGTTTCTTCTACTGTATAGCTATGAAACATGGCTAATAAAGGTAGACGATATGAGAAGGCTTCAGGTTTTGGACTACCATTATCTTCGTAACATATGCCATGTATCATCGTGTCACCCTTGAAGTGAGGAGTAAATTTTCAGCGAGGAGAGGAAATTCGGTTGATTAGGTCATGAACTTTCATCGACAAAGAAGGCCGGAACATGTGTTGCACATGCCTAGTTAGTTTCAGTCTGAAAAGAGGTTAACGGTGACCAGACTAAAAATGGCATAACTGCATGAAGTCCTTGACTGTTGATCAAAACAACGTAAAAAGATGCAGACTAGCCAGTTGGGGATCGACATGACGGTAGAAACCCGTGGTTGGAGACTCTAAATGATTTGGCTCAGAAACGATTTCACTGATGCAGATGTATGCATACTTCGTCTTAACTACTATACTGAATTCAGCATTTCCTCATTCCTCCTTCCTCTGTTTTACTACCTTTTAGTGCTTCCAACCGATTTTTCTCCATTTCTTCGTCTTTCATCTTACTAAGCTGTTACTTGATGTCCTGCTATAACGTGTGGCAATTTCGACAGTTGCGCAGTAATGCTTGACTGATTGACCAAGCTAGGAGACTTATCATCTCTCTTTCTCAATCTTATAGGAACAGTTATCTGAGGCAAGAACTTTAATATCTGTCAACAAGATGCTCATTCTCTACTCTACCAGAATGGAACTAAATCAAACTTCATCAACTGCCTTCACAGATGACCGATACTGTAAAAAAGGTGATGAACAAGAAAATACATCTGGTTGACTAAGTTAAAATATTAATGTATACATTATCACTCTGAATACCTGAAATAGCCATGGTTTTTGGCAGGCTAGTATTTATACTGAGTGATGATTGAAGGTGAAATGAACATTTGCACCACGGCCGGACTTGAACCGGCCATGACCAGGTTTCCGTTCCGATGTTCTACCAACTGAGCTCCGACGTCCAACTGCTAAAGAGATTTTTATTTCATTTCAATCACCAAGGTTTTTTTTACCCGACTACTATGTGAATTCGTGACTCGTTACTCATGCTTGATGATACTGATACTTGTTGCTTAGTCAAACATCCTCGACCTAATTCAAAATAGTACTGAAATGCAGATGTGGAGCATTATTATCTGAGACGGTCATAGTTTTTGGCAAACTTGTATTGAAATGAAAATTTGAGCTGTGGCAAAATGATCTTTTTAATCCAACTGATGCACAGAAAAATTCTTATCATTTCGTTAAATTCATTTTTACCTATCAGTTTTTATTTTTCCAGTTTTATTAGTATAGCTAAAGAATTCTTTTTTCTTGTGTTTACAAGTTCAATTTGTTTGTATTCACTATGAAATTCTCTTCATTAAAGTGTACTTCAGTGAAATACTTTTCAAATGACCTCAATTAATGCTGTTTTGATTTAGGCACTTGGTAATAAAAATGACAGTGGTCGCTAACTATTGACGCACACACGCACACAAATGTTTATATACCACACTATCACATCTTACTAGGTAAGGACTGAAACGTTAGCTAAAGTCACTTACAAAGTGATATTCCATCTTGACACTCTGGATAAATCCACAAATACTGATATACTGGGTGATGACTTAATGTGAAGGCGGCGGGATTCGAACCACTAGGTCCCCGACCACGATGCTCTGCTAACTGAGCTATGAGACCCGACTCCTCAACATATCATTATTTCAATTCAGTCATCAAAGGTTTTGCCCAACTGTCATGTTAATTTATGATGTGTTACTACCACCAGATCGTACTCACACTAGCTACCTAGTCAGGACTTCTCATCTCAGTTCAAATGTAACTGAATTAGAAAAGAGGTGGAGCATCATATTGATTATCATTTTGGCTTTGTGAGATATCCGTGGTTTGACAGACTTGCATTATTTGTAATGGGTGATGACTGAAAGTGAAATCTGATCAGCGTTTAGGCCTTGTAGCTTAGTTGGTAGAGCATTGGGTCGGAAATCCGGTGGCCGCTGGTTGGAATCCGACTGCGGTTCGAATTTTCATTTTACCTTCAATCACTATCCAGTATCAATACTAGTTCGCCAACCTACAGTTATCTTAGACAGTCAGAATGAAAATACTGATATGTAAAGCTGGAAATTACCTATGAATAAAGTTAGTAAACATGCATATACATAGTGACTCAATTTTTAAAACAGTGGGATTTACCTGAATTAAAATGGTAACATCATTGATTACCATTCAGCTGTCTTATTGTATGAGCTGGGAAACATAAGGGGAGAATAAGATTCACTTAGTGAGCGTTTTGACATGGTAGTATTTGGGGACAACAATTACATCAGTTAATTTTTTTTAACAAACTGATTAACAATTTGTGCTCTACCGAGTTACTAAGCTGAACCTCACTGAATATACTTCATTTTATTTATAATGATATCAACACTAACTACTTTTAAAAAAATTTGGAGATTTACAACAACAAAAAACAGTAATACTGGTTGATGGTTAGTAGATGAGATCCCAAACTCTTGTTTCATCTACTTTGATACTCTTCAGCTGTTGATATTGTTTTCACTAATGCTTAAACTCGGCATCGATCACTTCACAAACACCAGAGCATTAACCATTCGGTTTTTGAGTTATTGTAGCCGTTCGTTGTGTAACACTATTTGTAAGTTGCATGTCAAAAATCTATTTTTCTTAATACCTAAGAGGTGCAGATAGATATATGTTTTGATTTCAAACTATCAATAACGTTTTCCCTATCAAATTTTTCCGTAAAACTCAAAAATAGACAATTTAAGACGTATGATTCACGAATAATGCTTAAACATGACGTTCTTACAGATATGACGTAATAATTGATCACTTCGAGCATCTGATGACTTTTCAACAGGTAAGTAAACCGGAAATAACGATTTTTAAGGGGGAATTATGCTCATTCATCAGTATTTTTATCCACTACAGCTCCACGGTTTTTCACAGGACGTTTCCTAATACGGCATGACATAATTAGAACACATGGTAACTGTTTTGAAAAATAAGAAAGCATCAAGTGTTTGACCACCGTTGCCTTCGTAGTATAGGACGTATTCCGTGGTGTCACCATGTGAGTAATGCAGAAGTTAGGTGTAGAGTTTTAGGGAGAAGAGGTAAATCAGTTGACGAAGTTATGAACCTTCATCGACTGAGATGGTTGGGACACGTACTATGTATGCCTAGTCACCGATTGCCTCGTCACACAATGTTGGTTGAAGTAGGTTCAGTCTGGAAAAAGGCTCCAGGTGGCCAGACTAAAACATGGCACCAATGTATGAAGCCTTTGACTGTTGGTTTAAGCCATGTAGGTTGGGGTCCGCGGGACACGAGGAACCAGTGGTTGGAGACTCAAGGGCATACGTCTCAGAACCGATGTCAGTAGTGCAGATGTATACACACATTATCCTCATCTTAACGACGATATACCGAATCTCATCACTTTCTCATTCTTCGTTTCTCTCTTTTCGTAGTTTATATTTATTTTGATTGAATTCTCTTACCTTCATCTTTCGCCTCACTGCCTTTTTACTTGATGTACTGATATGAGGTGTGGTGAGTTGGACCGTTACGTAGTAATGCCTTGTCCTATGTTGATTTGGATGGATGGATTGATTGAATGATTGTTTTGAAAAATCGGTTATATAATTATTTTCTGCATTCACTGGCATCAGGGGATAGATAGGTGATCTAGTGTCTTCAATAAAAAAAAACAGAAGAATAATTAGATAATCTATTCCAATTTGAAGTGACTTTAAAGGTCATCCTAACAACAGCTAAAGTAACCAGTCAGACTTCCCTATTTCATGAAAATCTGCCTTTCCAGCCGAAATGAAGAAATGTAATTGGTTATTTCAATTATCGCCTGAAATTTGTTCTACTTTCAAGGCCACCCTTTCAACTCTTGAGATGACCAATCAGGCTTCGATATACCGCCTGGAAATGTACTTTTCCATAAAATAAAAGAATGCAATTGACTGTCTCATCAGTTGTTAGGATGGGCTTTTAAAGTCACCCACCAAATATGACGGAAAAAATATATTGGAGAAAAAACTTGTCTCTATTTACCAGACTTCATTGATGTTCCTTCTATTTACAAAAATAACCCATTACTATCTATAGAAATCAAGATTTTTCAGTTCGGTATTCATGCTGCATCTATACAAATATGGAGGCACAGAAAAGATATCTTCGCTCCTGAGTGACAACGATACCACCACACAGTAAGATATCTCCGTCTTTAGTATCTATTCATATAATTCGAGGTACGAAAGTCCTGAGTGGTTTCTAACTACTCAAGTTGTTCAGTAGTAATATCTTTCACTAGTTCATGACACTTTTGTGTCAGAGATCACAAATTATGATCTTGGTTCAGTGGTTTCTAGCTCACACCCTATTGACTGGCACCACAGTGATTGAATGACTAACTGACAAAACCAACGTAGAACTTCGCACACAAGTGCATAGGCTGAAGTTGCCACACTTCACAGTAGTACACAAAGAACAAGTCAGTACGAAAGGAGTGTGAGAGAATAAACAATCTGAAGATATTTGAAACAATTAATCCCTTTAATAAATTTCGATAACGCTATTAGAAGACGAAGATTATCTGAAAAATGTGATGTATTTGCGCAATACATTTCGAACAATCTGATCACACATTTACTTGTCAAGTCAATTTATATATGAAAATTAAAGGTCAAATATAGTGAATATGAAAAGGTTGTGACACTAGTCTTGGTAATATAATCAGATAAGGATTACCAAGGTAAATTAAGTGAAACAACAAATTGTTTTTGTACACACAGCGGGGGATTAAGTTTACGAATGGCTAACGCTTCGGCAAACTTCAGTATGCGCCCCTGATTATTCCTGTATATTATCTTAAACGCTGTTTTCGTATTAACCCTGTGATTCATTTCAATAATATGTTTTGCTATAGATGACGATGGATGTCTGTCACCTGCACTTATCAAAGTTTGTGTGTTAAACTGTTTTTCTAGCCATTTGGGGATGTGTTCACCCACCCTAGTCTGCATTGAACGATTACTCCTCCCTATGTATGTGTGCCCACACATACATGTAAATTGGTAAACACAGTAGGATGTGATGTAATCATTTGTGCGAGGTTGAGGTTTGTGGTGAAGCAGGTGTTTTGTCGTCTCAACAATGATAAGCTGAGCTGCATAGTATGTTTTACTGATAACAGATTTTAATCTCTGCTTCAATATCATACTACTTGTTTCCCCTCTGTATGGTACTTTAAGAAATATGCTTTTCTTCGGGACCGAGGAAACTGTAGGCTTTGGGGTCAACTGTTTTTTACAATGGTTGACAAACTGTAATGGATAACCGTTTTCCACTAGAGTGTCTGTCAGAAACTTATTCTCATCATCCATCGTATCAGATGTACAAATACGTTGGATTCTATTGAACAAGCATCTTACCAAGCCTCTCTTATATTTCATCGGACAAAAACTATGGAAATTCAAATACTGTCCTGTCCAAGTAGACTTCCTATATATTGATCGTCTTATAGATCCATCTTCCCTCCGGCACAAGAGTATATCAAGAAATGCAAGTTGATGGTCTTTTTCTTCCTCACATGTCAGACTGATATGATCTTGTACGGTATTAAGCCTTTTTAACAACCTCTTGGCATCCTCATCTGTGTCACATATTACAAAGATATCATCCACATACCTTCTATAGAGTGTGACATTGGTGATTAGATCTTGAGCCATTAGTTCAGTATGTGACATATATACATCAGCTAATAACGGTCCTAATGGACTCCCCATGGCTACACCATCAATTTGCCGAAAGTGTTCACCTTCGAAAGTGAAATGAACCTTATCAGTACATAATAAAAGCAGTTCTTTCAAATAAGTTGAAGGAATAGGGAAAGAAGGATAATTCGAAGATATGTGGTCACAAAGAATATTAATTGTCTTCGTTAGAGGCACATTTGTAAACAGAGAGTTAACATCAAAAGAATACATTTTCTTATTTTTAATATTCAAATCAGTAAGATAATCAACAAGTTCAAACGTATCTTTCAGTGAATACTTACATAAATCATTACGAATCGGGCTCAGTAATTCGGCTAACCACCTCGCCAATTTGTGTGTGGGAGACTGACACATTGACAATATTGGGCGTAGTGGATTATCAATTTTGTGAATTTTTGGAAGTCCATATAGATTTGGGAAATTAGATCCCATGGGTTTCAAGGAATTAAACTCCGCTTTAGCAATGACATCCGTGTTAAGGAGTTTAACTAGACTAGTTGTTACTTTTCTTTCTAATTTTCTTATATCCTCTGACGGAACATCTGCCAAGAATTTACTTTTATCACAAAGAATAGACAACATTTTATTTTTGTAGTCTACTTTGTCCATCAACACAACACCTGATCCTTTATCAGGCTTAAGAATTATCACATCAGGATTCCTCTGTAAGTTTTTCAGGGACTTGAAGTGTTGCGTAGTTAAAATGCATCTCTGTTTCGGACCTGGGTTATGGAATTGATGGGCTATATCAACTAGTTTAGCCTTCAACCAACTCTGGTTGTCCGAAGAGGTAGGGACTAGAGAAGTTAACTGATCATATAAATTTTCGAAATGGGCATCGATGGCTAAATCATTGTTATGATGGTATGGGACAGAAAAATTAAATCCAAGGGAAAGAGATTCTTTCTCACATACCGAAAGTTCAACTGAAGACAAGTTCGTCACATATTTATCTGGATTTACTGGAAATGACTCTATGTGAAGGTCACTGATACACGATTTCAATAACTTTTCTTTAGCTTCCACCTTCGTTTTAATCATAACTGAACTACAAAAATTGATAAATTTGATATGACAAACTAGAGAGATGTCAGACAGCACAGAAGAAGCAGATACATGAAGTTCAATTAATCGGCACAGCTTCTCGCTGCAACTGTTAATATGAGAGTTCGTAAGACGAATAAGATTTGAGACATTAGGATGTAATTTTGAACATCGTAACGATTTATAGAATGGTCTTGGGAATGTGTGATTAGATCTACATGATTTATAAAATTCTAGTTTCACTTTTTCAGATGCTATTTTGCACTTGAGGTTGAACAGTTCATCTAACCGTTTAACAGTGCAAGCAGGGAGTCTTCTTTTCAGAAATTCAAAACAATTAGCCCCTTTAATAAATTTCGATAACGCTATTAGAAGACGAAGATTATCTGAAGATAAAGGCTAGTGTGAACATCCAAGCTTTAGAGGATGTGAAGGAGTGAATACATCTGCGCCATTGTGACCGATTTCATTGATGTCACCAAGACTCCTCAACAACTGATTTCTTTCGTCTTGGGAATCCCAACCAAGCAATCTACATCTCCCCATACGACCCAAGCCAACAGTCAGGGACTTCATGGACTGGTGCAACATCTTGGTCTGGCCACCCTGAACCCTTCTCCATTCTCCTCCAACTTCCCCCACCATGTCATATCCAGGTAGGTAGTGGCTTGGCATGCATAGTACATGTCCAAGCCATCTCAGTCAACTACGGTTCACAACTGTATTACTTGACCTGTCTTGCCTATTACCTTTCACTTGACCCCGGAGTTGCTCACATGATGATTCCGCCGCACACGAGCAATGCTACGAAGACATCTACAGTCGAAAAACTGTAACTGTTTCTTGTTTCCTAATTCTAACCACCGCATCTCATGGCCATATAATAGAACAATTGGGCAGTTGAAAAATAACTCATCTGTGAGGAATATCAGCAGGGACCGTATAGTTTGTAAGTAATTTACAAATTAATCATCCTATTTTAGGTATAGCAGTCGGTGCAAATCAGGGAATTTGAAGTAATTCGGCTCTATGAGTTGAATTTGTCTGCGAACACCGCTGATCGGCTCAGCATCAAACAAGCGAAACGGCTATTCGATGTTTAGATCACTAGGATCTGGCTGGAGAAATCTACAGATCAACCTGATTAGTTTCTAACTACTCAAATTGTTTAGTAGTAGTATATTTCGAATAAATACTGTTTTGACATTTGTGGCTGGACACATTATGAAAAGTGAAGTCTCAAGTGATAATTGTTATTTTTATCTAGGTAATTATGTACAGCAATAGCATTTTATCCATGAACTTTCCTATTCCCCTGATCTTTATCGCTTAAAGCATCCTTTTCGTTCTTCGATAAAACACTCATTGATATTTCTCTTCCTCTTCCCTAACATTATAATTACTGATTTATTCACGTCAACGTTCTGTCTAAAATTGGAATAAAATAAACTGTGCCTTAAATTGATATTCAGATATCATTTTTTAGAAAGTGTGCGAAATTCTTATTACCTGAATTTGTAAATGGATTTAAAACAAGTTTTCAACTGTTGAATTAGTTTCCTTTTTTTGATGAAGTTGTGTTCTCTCAGCTAGATTGTTTAATCTTTTCTGAAGTTTATGTTGATGAGACGCTGTTTAAAATGATAGTAAATGCTCCACGATTATACAATCCAATTCAAGGGACACAACATCAACATAATTTCAATAACTTTATCAAAAAATGAAGATTATCTGAACAATGTGATGTATTTGTACAATATATTTTGAACAATACATTCATCAACAACTGCCACGTACGCTGGCTCGTTATTGAAGCTCAGATGGATTGCTAGAATAATAAGAATAAGCAACAAGGAACTCTGGCCTCCTAACGCACCAACTAAGAACCTATCTCTCAACAAATATGCAGAAGGAAGTGGAAATGGATTGGGCATACACTGAGAAGGCCGACTGAGTACATCACGTGCCAGGCCAGTTGCTCGAGTGGAACCCCGATTGGAAACGACGAGTTGGGCATCCGAGTTGAGGGTGACATGGAGGAGATGGTGTGAGGAAGAAATGAGAGGTTGTGGGCTGTCGTGGAACCAGGTTCAAAAGATTTCATAGAACAGATTGTTCTGGAGACGTGCTACTGAAGCTCTATGTTCCACTAGGAACCCAAGGGACAAATAAATAAATTTGGAACAATCTGAGGACAATCTGGAAATCTCATTAAGAGCGTATTTAACTGATGTATGTATGCCACTTATTGAACTAATGGTTCAGGACTTAATCACTAATGTCACATTCGATAGTAGGTAGGTTGATGATATCATTTTATCATGAAACAGATGAGGATTACGTGGATTCGTTAAAAAGACCTAATACCGTGCAAGATCATATCAGCCTGACATTTGTGGAAGAAAATGATCATCAATTTACATTTCTTGATATATTTTTGTCTTGGAGGGAAGATGTATCTATCAGACGATCAATCTATAGAAAGTCTATTTGGATGAGACAGTACTTGAATTTCTACAGCCTTTGTCCAATGAAATATAATAAAGGCTTAGTAAGACGCTTATTCAATAAGATACAACGTATTTGTACATCTGATACAATGGATGATGAGAGCCGAATTCTGAGAGAAATGCTTATGGAAAATGTATATCCATTACAGTTTATGAACCGTTGCAGAAAATAGTTAACCCCAAAGCTTGTAGTTTTCTCGGTCACGAAGAAGGACACATTTCTTAAACTACCATACAGAAGGGCGAGGGTCATGAGTGCGCAGTGGTTAAGAGTCGCAACCTAGGACGAAACAACTGTCCAGTACTCTCAGGTTTCCAATATTTTTCTAACTGATATCAGTTCATGACGTATACCAACATGAAATTTCTTTGTGGTTGTATTTGGTATGGACTAACATGAGAATTCAGGATGTTCACTGTGTCTTACTTCAAACTGGACTTCTTAATGCACCTGCATCTCATAGTGCTCTGTCTTTCTAACTGGAACTGAAGTGTAACATCCATCATAACGCTCACTGGGATGTAGGTGTATTTAGATGATAACTCACAGACTAGATGGAACTCACATCTCAGATTCAACTGCTAGTCGTAACATATCACTATGATATTCAAAAATTTCTCTACTGACATATATTTTCTGACCAATAAAATGCAACAAAGGGGGAGGTTATTTATACTTAGTGACATCACAATCCTTCATATGCTCATGATATTTTTGTATGCAATTGTATAACATGATTGATTGTCTATGGACTCATTGATTTGAGACAGCCGTAGTTGGCAAACTGATTTTTACATACAAAGAGAAAGAAGGAAATTAATAGAAGATTTGAGATTCAAGTCATCATCCTCCAGACTACAGGCTAGTAACATGTTGACAGAGATAAGAGATCTGACTACCAGCCATATAATACTTTATTATTATTATTATTATTATTATTATTATTATTAGTCATTTAGGTTCCTAGTGGAACATAGGTCTTCAGTAGTATGTCGCCATTTCACTCTTATTCTCTGCAGTCTTTTTAACCTGGCTCCATATGACATATCACCATAATATTTGAGTCGATATCAACTGGAGTCGAATGTTTTTGGAAACTGTTTTCACTAATTTATCATAGGTTATGATTAAAAGAAGACGAAAGGCTGGATTTGCCAACTGATAAGCTACACTTGCCAGTTGAATCTTGTTCGTTGTTAAGCCGACACAAGTTATCTTACCGTAGGTTGGCATATATAAATACTTTACTCATTGCTTCAGGCGTTGTCAAGAGTAATAGTAGTGTGACCAGTAAGTAGTAGTAGTGTGAGTAGTAGTAGTAGTGTGAGTAGTAGTGTGAGTAGTAGTAGTAGTAGTAGTAATAGTAGTGTGAGTAGTAGTAGTAGTAGTAGCAACGACAGCAGTCATCTTTCTAATTAATCCTTTTCCGACTGGAAATTTGTATGATATCAGTAGCCTCTGTAACAAGATCTTTTTGGTTTAGGTATATTCCAATGATCTCAAACATTTCACAGGCTTGAATGTTCGTCAAAGTTTATTCATCAGACTCAGCATTCACCATTAATTAACATTTAATCTTCCAAATTGATAGGTCGAGTATGAATCATGCGTAATTTTAAACTTGATTAATCTGTAAAACAGTATAACAAGTCTTATATCGATCTTGGTTACTAGAAGAGGAATTCAGGATATTTTTTTCGTAACATTCGGGGCTCATCGGCTGGATGTACCTGCACCCCACTGAGTAATTTTGTTCCCATCGAGGCTAGAACCCAGTACCCTCCTCTTCAAACGCCAGAGCCTTATTCAATAAGCCACTGGAGCACGATAGCTACCTCTTGTGGAACGGTTATCAGTTGTTTCCTAGTGGATAACGCCCTGGAGTTTGAACAGAAGGGTAGTGGGTTCGAGCCTCAGTGGGAACATCACTCATTGGGGTGAAGGTATATCCAACTGACAAGTTCCAATTAGGACGAAACGCGCGTTCTGGATTCCTCTACTAATCACCAAGATCAGTATAACATCATGAATGCCCTGCAGTAACGAGGCATCCGCATAGGAGCCCATCTGCCAACAGAGGTCTAGCATTTTGACCCTGTACAGCAACGGGGAATTACAAGTATCATTACCACAGTCTGAAAAGTCTCATAACTCATCATGTAGATAGCTGACATAACACTACACCCCGTTTGTCTTGTGAGTTCAAATGTTTTACTATCAGTCATTTTACTGGGGAAAAAAATACTTAAGTATTCAATAAAATTGATGACTGACAGTTTTACCGGGATATTAGGTTTGCTGTCTCCAATGCTGGTATTTGTTTTGCTCTGCTACCACTGGTCTTGCAATTTCTTTTTTAAAACTATAGCGCTTGTGCAAATGTAAGCTAAAACATCTAACTTAAAGGCAGTTGGATAACATTTTCACTCTTTCAAAGATAACAATAATGTTACTGTCACTAACTAGAAGTTACCACCTTAATCTAGTTGTATAACTTAGCTTAAAATCTCTGTGTTCACATGCAGCAGTTTCCCAATAAGCAAACAATGGTAAGTAAATAGAGGTCCTATCTTTTTGTTATTATTCAAACTGATTGTGCAGTGATTTAGGTCTAAGAATAATTTAGAGACTACTGATGGATAGTGGCTATCAGTGGAATCAAGACGTTTGTTTCGTCCTGTTTGGGACTCACTAGTCAACTGGATGTACCTGCCTCTGACTGAGTGATACTTTTCATACTAAAACTCGAACTTTAGAACTTATAGCTTCAAACGTCAAAGTGTTACCCACTAGACCACCGAGTAACGATACCCATTTCTTGTGAGACGGGTATGGTTTATATTATTTTGCTTGTATTATTCCGTTGGGATTAACTGGACAGAATTGATAGATCTCTATTGGTATATGCACTCCTGTGTGGATAACTTTACTATTAAGCCATATTATGTATAATCACATTGTCAATGTCATTCCCTTTCAGATTACTTAAACAGTTCATTGAACATGGTCAGCAGTGTACAGCTGTGGTGACACCGTCATACTCTTTAACTCCTGTGAATCTGATTCAATTATCCGCATTCTCCTACTTCTAACAATCAGTAGAATGTTCACTCTAGTTTGATCAATAAAATTGGTATGAAGTCACCTAG